CGCGTGTCCATGTGAGAGCATTTCAATAGGGAGAGCACCATCAATAAAGATGGAGGTTGACTAACGGTGGAATCCAGGACGCATGTCTTGTTTTATTTAAGACTCGTCAGCTGGATTAAATGATTCATATATATATGAATATTCTTCAATATTTAAACGAAATAGTATGACAGGAAATGGGCACAAACAATGAACAATAAATATGAATATTGGCAAGTTGAACTAACTGCAAATGTTTTTATTTTAACATTAAAATCGATGCAGAATTACAGATAAGAGAATAATTCAAAGATAGTGAAATGAATTTATAATTTGTTCAATGGACTGGTTCTTTTCTTTTCTTTTTTTTGGTTTCTAGAAATCTCCGCCAGAATACTTTTATATCTCGTCATCGATGATTGTTATGTCGGAAAAACGCTGATCACTTATACTCGGAACGAAGGGACCTCGGTAATTCCCACGACGCGAAAGTAAGAACACAAAGATTGGTATCAGTGATTATTTATTAGCCCCAAAACACTATGACGACGATGACCCTAGTCGAAAATACACTGATTTTTATATTGATTGTACACCCATTTTGATTAATAATTAGAATTAAATCACATACTCAGTTATAATAAATCACATACAGAGCATAGTTCATATCAATGGAATACAAGAATATCGTATATTATAGAGAATAAAAAGATCATACGAGGAAACAAAAACGAATACTCTACTGAATGATCCTCACGTTGAATCAAAATGGATGTTGAATGTTGGACAAAACTCATCATGAGTAAATCAATCTAAGATTGGCTTTTCTTTCCATCATATCAAATACATAGGGTACAATGACATAATAGAAACTTAAAGTTACCTATTTTATACTTCGTTCAATTTCTGCATATTGTGCCTTTTACTTCATGAATGTTCTGGAGATTATGACATTTATGACATAACGTGTCATAAATGTAAACAAAACACAATTGATATAACCGGTTAATTAACGTTTGTCAGAACTTTAAATGAATTACATAAAACACCTAACAAATGACAATTGCTAAAATAACTCCACTTGGAGTCCCTCCAGGGGCTACTGCCGGTCCCAAGCTCGGATAATGGAGGAGGGTTGGATATGGCGTTCGAGACTCCGTCCCGTAGAAAACTGACTCGATAAAAAACGCTAACTAGAAAAAATGATTCAAACCATTTAAACTCTGTCCTGTGAGTCAGAAGGTCTTCATTTAGAAGAGTTATGATGCCTCATGATGAAAGCCGTCTTCCTTCGGAAGTCACGAGGCCGATACTCTCTTCTGACAAACAGAACAACCATTTATTTAGGCCCTTCTTATGAATAATATTATCTTATTATCGTATATTAGTACTCGTAGCATCTTTATCAGGAAATATTGATAGTTACTATGTAAATAAGAATTTAGTATTTGTATCAAATGATAATAGTTCAGTCCTTTATATTTACATAATATTTTATAAAGTAGATGATAATTTATTAAACATGTTTAGAAAATTTCAATAGTTGAAATTATGAGTCAATTGAAGTTAGACCAGCATTGAAAACTTGGAATCACTGAACGAAGGTTTCATCCTAATAGGAGACTCCTCAACAACAAGAAATCCCTTTTAATATTTAGAAAAGATTGAAATTACGAAGTAGACAATGAATATCCTCAATAGTAAACACAAAAAATTTACAATAATGATCAATAAAATTATTGACATGATTAATTTCTATGAGTAACAATTTTTACGATTCACTTTAAAACAAACATCATGAAACCAATAGCATGATCATGAGATCAGAAGTACAAGAATTTGTGTAACATCCTATGTAATGTCTATCTATACTGATGAATCGGCTGTTAATCTCTCTATGTAAGAATTAAAGCCTTTTTTTTTAAAGATTCTTGTGCCATTGAAATCAATTGTATGACTCGATTTTATTGAGTGTAATGCTATTGCTGATTCGTTCTCGAGTTTTCTTACATCAACTGAAGATTGAGGAATGTGCTTTAAGCATAGTTGTTATTTCTTCACCTTCACATTCAGTTGCATTGATGTTTCATCTATACATTTTTTGTTACAACATCATATGTCTCATATTACACTAAAACAAATACCTACTTTAAACATTATTAACATTCATTGGATGATCTATTGAGTCATACAGTGAACCGGAGAATCAAATTGCCACGGAAAACGTTAGATTTACTTCAAATTCATTCGTTGAGATTTTCACAAATACAACATTCTTCCTCTTTAATGTTTCACATTAACTCAACGCTCAAATACTGTGAAACTATTCGATCAAATTTAGACAAAAATTCTTATTCATTGAACAATCGTATCAAATTTCAGAGTCATTGGCAAATGGTGTGATTATGAGTCAAATGTTTCTTCATATATATTAATAAGATTATCTAACTAAGACTATTTAATTATATGCTATTTGTTCAGGCTATAATCTCTACAAAACCCATCTAATATTAATCAACATATGCTCACTAGTGACTGGCTTCATGAGGTATATCCTGGAGTTCTAGTGAGAAGTAGTGACCAGTGGAGTTCAACCAGATCTGTTGTGAGATAGTAATTCACTGAAGACAATGGTGGATGGTGTCGCTCAAATTCATGGATTAGTTGAAGTTAAACATTAACACCATTGGATGACGGCTCAGTGGTCTAGTGGTTAAGTGTTCGTGCTCGAAACCAGTAGGTCCTGGGTTTGAATTTCATGAGCGGCGGGAGGGATCGTGGATGCGCACTGCTTAGAAGTCTCACAATAGGACGAAACGGCCGTTCAGTGCTTCCAGGTTTTCCATGTTGGTCTAGCTTCAACTGACTCATGATCTTAACCATTGAAATTACTATAATCTCCACAAAACCCATCTGATATCTTGATTTAATTTGCAAATCTATTAGGACATCAATCAACAAATCTCAAATGAACAATTAGTTTTGATATTGAAAACATTCACTTCAGATATAACTAATGATTATCAGACTTAAAGTTAATATCATTGATTCACTAGCATAACACAATATAAACAGTTTAGAAAGATAGTTTAGAATAACTATGATCAATAGTTCCAGATTAAAGTAACAGATTATCACAATTTTTACAAACTTGTACAGTTTCAATACATAATCTTATAATAATGAATAATAAGTTCAATAATTCACGACTTATATTGGAAGATTAAACAGTTAAGTTGACCATTAAAATATTGATCATAATTCGATCATAAATCATAAATCGCTTATGAACTCAGTTTATAATACTTCTTAGTAAGACTAATACTAATTATTTTCATTCGTTGAATAAGTTATGAACGTTTGTAAGATATAACGATAACTTCAATGGTTCAGATCATGAGTTAATTGAAGCTAGACCAACATGGAAAACCTGGAAGCACTAGACGGTCGTTTCGACTTATTGTCGGAACCCTCAGCAATGAGCATCCACGATACCCCGCGTCGCGAGATTCGAAACCAGAACATATCAGTCTCACGCGCGAGCGCTCAACTTCTACATTACTGAGTTGGCCGACACCCAATAGTGTTGATGTCTAACTTCATCGAATACACGAAATTGAGCGACAAATCCACTATTTTCACCAGTGAGTTACTTTCTCACAACAGACTCGGTTGAACTCCACTAGACACTACTTCCCACTAGAACTCCAGGAAATGCCTCTTGGAACCAATTACTAGTGAGCATATGTTGATTACAATAGAACAAAACGGCCATCCAATGGCTCACAAGTTTTTCAAGGTGATCTAGCTTCAATTCACTCATGATCTCAACTATTGAGATTACCATATTATCGACAAAAACCCTTTTAATAGCGATAATTTCCAATGTATTTAATCATTGATATCAAGCGTACAAATGTAATTACATCTTCATTTTAATAATAGAAATACTATAATTATTTTAACAAACATATGAATACTTATTATATAAGTAGATTTGAAGTTTCAATAACACTCACACTTCTATTTGATATAAACGATCAGAGCTTATCAAACAACTGATAATATACACAATGGGAATTCATTTGAACATAAAGTAAAATAAAGTAGTCATAAAAGATAAAATTCACTTGGTGCTGTTTTACTTGTATCTCCCGATTGTTTTTTTAGAATTTCAATTGATCATTCTCATGTTGGCATATATGCATTCTGTGCATATTGCCTTGATATAACCTTAAGTTACAAGCTTTTTAAGCAAAGATGGATAGTGACTAGTAGAGCGAAACGGGAGTCCTAGATTCCACTGCTAGTCACTATCCATCTTTGTTCAAAAGATAGAAATTTCAATAGTTGAAATCATGAGTCAATTGAAGCTAAACCTCCATGGAAAATCTGGAAGCACGAGACGTCCGTTTCGTTCTAGTATGGGACTCCTCAGCAGTGCGCACCCACAAGTATTGGTTGAAGTTAAACATTGACACCGTTGGATGGCAGCCAGTTCAGTGGTCTAATGTTTAAGCGTTCGCACGCGAGGTTGATAGATCGTGGGTTCGAATCTCACAGGGGGGGAGCAGGATCGTGAATCCCCACTGCTAAAGAGTCCTATCATAGAACGAAACGGCCATCCAGTGAAACATCCAGGTTTTTCATGATGGTCTAGCTTCTATTGACTCATGATTTCAACGATTGAAATTTCTAAAATCTTCACAAAACCTCTTTCTGATAATCATGTTATACATGAACTATATTATCAATAACACACATAGAAACAGATAGAATATATATATATATATACAATTATAAGATATAATACTTTCCTATAATGATTTCATTGCTTATTTATTTATATATCAAACATCAACATCAACATCATCATTAATGTATCCCAATTAATGAATAATGAAACAATAATTAATTCATTAATTAAATCAATAAACAAATAAACAATCATGAAATAATCAATAAAAAATAAAAATAAAAACAAAAGAGAAAAACCAAAAAAAAACAGGGGTGTAGCTCACTTTCATTGCTAATGATATGGTATTAATTAATATAAATATAAAAATGCAATATTCAAATGGTTGTGATGTAATAAACCACCATATTCTATATTGAAAATTTTCTTTTGGGATATAACGTTTCACTGGTCTAGCTTTCAATGCAAATTCAATACATTTACGCTAAATATATATATATATATATATATATATATATAGATAGATAGATGGATATATGTAGGGAGAGAGAGAGAGGGGGGGAGAAAAAGGGAGAAAAGGGAATAAGAATTTTAATAGAGAGAATATATATATTTTATATATTTTATTTATACAAATTGAATAAAACAAACCATAGAAACAAGTATACCACATAATACAATTGAAAAAAAAATACCACAAAAAAAAGTATTAAATGAATCAAATCCTTTAATTATATTTAGATTAATCTTTCTTCATTCGGTATTTTCACTATGGTATGTGGTTCAGGTTGTTGTTTTATAATATTCGATTCATTTTCCATATAATTTGGTTGATATATCCCATGTGATGCACGACGTTTTTTTAACCAACGATATAAATAATAACCACCTATAATTAATCCAATAATAATTAAGATTGGTATAATTATTATAACAGCTAATAAACCTGGACTAAGTTGATTAGGTTTTGTTTCTTCAATCATTGGTGTACTACTATTTGAAACATTCAATGATGATGATGATAGATCACGTCTTACACGTCTTAATACAACATCACGAACAGAATTAATCTCTTGAATATTTTCAATGAAATGATCATGACAATGAATTAATGAAATACATAATTTTGATAAATCATTTAAATGATTATTATTTAATAAACAAGATGGATATATAGAAGAGGATAATTCACTAAATAGTTGATAATCAATATCCCCATTATTCCCATTATTCCCATTATTCCCATTATTGATTATTGTCAACATAAATATATATATATAATCTTTCCATTGATATAATGGATATTGAATAGAATAATGATCAAAAGATTGATTTAAATATTTTAATGTTACAAATAATGATGAATAAGATTGTGAATGATCTAATTGAAAAATAGCCCATATATTATTATTATTATTATTATTAAGATCTAAAATATGATTGGATTTTATATAGATTTTTATTAAATCGATTTGAGATTGATTTATTGATTTTATATTAGGTAGATGTAATAATAAACAAACATTATTGGATGGATGACCCTTCAAGTATGATGAGGATGATGATGATGGGGATAGTGATGAGGGGGATAACAATGATGATATTAAAGAAGATTTGGAATATTTTATGAAATAATCATTAAAAGGAATTTTAATTGATTTTAATGAAATTTTTGGAATTAATAATGGATTATTAAGATGATTATTATATCCTGATAATAATAATATGAGGAATTGTAATAAGATCATTATTTGAATCCATTCCATTATTATGAATAATGATCGTTTATTGATTTGAATGAATTATACTTTTCAATAGGATCTAATTCTATTGAATCTAATTATAATGAATGGATGTTGAGTATAGAACTGAATTAACTTACATGGATAATTGTAAATCTAATTGATATTAATATGAATGGTAATAATAAACATTTCATAGTCAATTCAAGATGATATACTTCATTTCAAATAACTAATCATGCCTTATTATTTGTTATGATTTGAAATGATCGAACAATGTGGTTCTTGTATAATCTGATTGGTTTTTTTTGTTTATGACAATTTGGTATGTTTCGTTTTTATTATTATTCTTCTTCTTCTATGATTAGATGATAAGAAACCTATCACCTTTATTTATAGGTAGATTGACATAATGCAACATGCATCCATTTGTATAGTCATTAGTTATTCTATAAGCTTATTAGTCTTATTAACCAAACTATATATATATATATATATGCTTAAGCACACATACCCAATTTATAAACAAAGAAGTATAAGAAATCATTAGAAAAGTAAGACATACTCTTATAAGACATAAAATGTTAGTTGATATTTGTGTCTATGTTTAGGTGAATTACAATGGTGAGTGAAAAAAGCAAAAACAAAAGAAGATGAAGATAACCAAAAACACAAAATATCAATAGGCACTATGTACTGATTACATAACTAGTTGGGTGAGACCTTGAATAAATTATTTCTTTTGTGTGTGTGTCACTATGACAAAACATAACCAGTTAGCCTCGATATTACATTCAGTCACAAGCTTTATAAGCCAAGATGGATAGTGGCTACCAGTGAAATCCAGGATGTGAGTCACTTCGTCCTATTTGGGACTTGTCAGCTGGATGTATCTGTATCTCAGAGTTGACTCAATAGATAAGTGGAAAACGCGAAGGAATTTGGAGCGAACGGTTATGTGTTAGAGTCCCAGAGTGACGAGCATCTTCGATTCCACTGCTAGCCACTATCCATCTTTGGATATTTATCTTTGTCTTGGCTGTATGAATCTTCCCATTAATGTTTTGGTCAATCTTTATTGACATGTGTGCATGTTAAACGGATTGCCTCGATATTGCCTTTAGTCAAAAGCGTTATGAGCGGAGATGGTTAGTGGCTGGCAGTGGAATACAAGTTTCACGGTTCACTATCTGCATGTACCTGCATCCGGGTAGATGTTTACCTCGAAAATCAAACTCAGTACAGTTCACTTGAAACTCCATCGTGTTATTCACAACCAGCCACCAGCCACCTCTGCTTAAAACACATACACTAATCAGTAATATTGTTTCATTGACTATCACATTAAGTAATATTTTTTGTATTCTAGATAACTTTAACCATTCAAGAAAGTAAACGGATCACTTAGTGTCGTATTTTTGTGACATAAAAGTAGTTTTGTCATTCTGTGATCAAACACAGCACATTTTTAATAACAAATCAAAGTATAGCAACTATCCTACAACCAATTTCGATTATGGTTAATTTTGGTTAAGCACTTTTATTAACTTACTTAACAGACAATTTTATTTGAATAGTGACAATTCGCATATTTCTTTGTGCCATTATGATCAACTAGAGCACATGACAGACTCTAGATAAAATGTTAATTGCTTAAACATCACTCAACCATTCATCCCTTCATGTATGTATGTACTAAAATCCTATCATTAACCTTTGCTTTGCCTTTCTGCGCGCTTATGCAATTCGATTGTAAATTTACCTATTTATTTGCTCATATACATTTGTTCGCCTCTCCGCTTCAAATTCACTCGATATGCTTATAGCTTTGTGATCTGAGCTATCCACTAATACATTATAGTAGCTGTTTCTTATTTCCTTCTGATTTTAAACACCGTTGAGAATTTATATTATAACGATTGTCGAGATGATCGATTAACGATGTAAAGCCACTAGAAAATTGGTGATCTCAATGTATGAACACGAAACAATTTTCGACGATATAATCTAATTCCAAAAAATCATGCACTTTGTCTCCATTCGGATTATTATCTGAATTATAATTATAGTTGTGAATTTATTATATCAGAAGGGGTTTGTGGAGATTTTTAGAAATTTTCACAGATTGAAATCATGAGGCCCGCGTGGTGCGGGATCGTGGATGCGCACTGCTGAGGAGTCCCATACTAGGACGAAACGGCCGTCCAGTGCTTCCAGGTTTTCAATGGTGGTCTAGCTTCAACTGACTCATGATTTCAATCTGAAAATTTCTAAAAATCTCAACAAACCCCTTCTTATAATAATCATCTGCTCACTAGTGACTGACTTCAAGAGATACTCCTGGAGTTCTAGTGGGAGTCCGTCACCAGTGGAGTACAACCAGGTCTGTTGTGAGATATCAGCTCACTGAAGACAATGGTATATGGTGGCGCAACTTCGTGGATTGGTTGAAGTTAGACATTAACACTGTTGAATACGGCTCAGTGGTCTAGTGGTTGGGTGCTGCGCACGAAGCCAGTAGGCCCTGGGTTCGAGCCCCGCGTGGTGCGGGATCGTGGGTGCGCACTGCTGAGGAGTCCCATACTAGGACTTATTATATCACTATTTTTATTACACATACATTATCTCACAAACATTATTGAACTTTACAGTAATACTCATAATAAATAACGATATTTCACAAATAATTGATATATTGATGCAACTTAGTAAGTACGTTCTATGTTATGAATTGTACCATCTATTATTATCATTGTTTTTGTCTTTAAATAACGACACAATAGACCTTCCATAAATGCCGTCCATGAGATCCAGGCATAACACCACAGTAGATGAAAGGATCAATGTGTGATCAGTCAGTCAGTCAGTAACAACATAGAACTTCGTACGTACGTACATCAGTTCGAGTTGCCACACCACATGTGATAAAAAGAGATTAATGTTTTATGTCACAAACTGACGAACCGAA